ACACCCACATGGCATGCATTTCGTAGGACGTATGTGGTAACAACCGAAACAACGCTCACCTCGCAAAATAGATTAAAGCAATTTTACCACCTTTTCAACCTTTCACAGCCTGACTTGGCGATCCCATGAATGAGAAAGAAGACGATAACTTCGTATCACCAACTGACGATGAACGACGCGGTGACGACGAACTTAGGCTTAGAATCGACGCCACTTCCTAAAACAATAACTGCGAATTTTTGCATAGGATCAAATCTGACTACTATAACAGCCGTTTCATTACACAGATGGCATTTTTTTACGTCAAACTTGTTTGTTGCAACATTTTCATAATAGTGAAGTTGAACGCTAAGCAATGTAAAAACCAATAAAAGCAATGTTTGTTAGTAATACTGTTATGAATGTTGCTACTACTACTGTTACCTCTATTATGAATACTGAGATTATTACTGTTATTAACAAACACTTTTTACTATTACGACTAGTTACCATAATTATTGATACGTTCATCAATGGCACTGGTGCTGATATAAAGGAGCTTCATTATAAACAGTCAAACAAGGGATTTTTTCCCATTTCTTTTATTATTAAATTAGACCAAGGACTACTTAGGTTAGGAGGGACCCGGTAACATTACCATTTTTCGGACTTTTGCTGGCTAAGCCATTGTGGTTCCCTAGAGATCCGAGGTCACCCTGGCCAAAGTCCGCCTTACGTCGTCACCACAACAGGCAGTTGTCGCCCTTGTGAATCAGTGAGCGATTTACCACCAAGCAACTAGTTTGATACCAAGACGGTAGTGGATCACGGCATTAGTTTACTCTTAGTTGCGCTTCTTGATGGAAACGCCGGACTTCTTAGCATGGGAGAACCCGCCGGGAGGATGAATCGCCGCTGTACATCGCAGCCCGACACCCAGGAACACCTTCCAGTTATCAGGAGACGGTAAACTGTTGAGAGGATGTATATTTCATATACTGTATATTATATTCATAGTATATTCATATACTGAAAATTGTATAAAAATGAAAGAAGAGCATTTGTATAGTTCCTATAATAACTGTAAAAGTATGAGTCGAAAAGAAAAGAAAATAGAAGCTAGCAGCACTCCCACAAATTGAAAATTCTTTAAGCATTAGGAAAACACATATGAACTCAATACCAAATGTCCCTTATTGTTCGCCATTTTGTAATAACAATGGAGGAAGTATTTGCAAAAAATAGACTTTCTACGTACGTGAACGTCTTCATCTGCCTCAGCAGGGATCATTTTCTGGTAACAACGGTCGCACATACGACGTTGCACTCCTTTTCCATCATCTTCTGTTGTGTGATACCGCTGACGAGAGCACTGATGACACACTGACTGCATACACAGCCTTAAGAAGTGCATACTCACCACAACAACAATGTCCTTAATACACTCGCGAACGCACTATTTCATGGCAATTGCACATAATTTCCCAACAATTAGAGCATTTGGAGAATTGAGAATTTGGCTGACTTATGTAGGATATGCAATATCATCCACAGGAATACACGGATTTTTACAAACTGTTCATATTTCCACAGTGATGCTGTGGCATTTGCAAAACTCCAGATCGCAGATGTCTACGATGGGAATCGAACTCGCCACTATCCTTTCCGGGGGCTAACGTGTTCCAAAGAAATTGAAGATCAAAGGTTTAGGGTTTTCCAAGTTTTTCACGAAAAAGTTGCAAGCGTACTCATCAAAAATGTTCTGAAACACCATCATGTTATGCTGTACGAAATTTCAGTTTTCAATCGTTTCGATGCCTGGAATACGATACACGGTAGAAAAAGCGACTAATGTGCCTCAGAAAACCAAAAAATTATCGTCGTAATAAGAAAACAAGACTCCAGTAATTTCTACTTCATACTGGAAGGTTGCCTATAGGCGAAATGTGCTTGTTTAAACTTGAAAACTACTTTACAAGACATAGGATCGAACTTACGACAAAATGTGAGCCGTAGAGCATCTCTACCGACTGCTCTACATGCGACAGTAATGTATATATATATATGTACGTAGATATACATATATACTCATGCAGGAAAACACCTTTTAAATACGAACCTTACTAACTTACTCAAGAACACAGCTAGTCTTTTATCACAACTCGAATTATTGAGTAAGAAATAAGACAAAGTTGAAATTCTATCGCACCTGCAACGGTGTTCGGCATCTTCAGGTCGCAAAACACCTATCATTGGATACGCTTTATCACATATCTGACAGTGTGTATTCCTCGACAGGGGTATGCCGCTCGACTCTCGAGGCACTTCACACGGGTCGACAACAGAGACGTCAGACAACGCACGACACAGACTACCACCGTCACCATCAGAATCAGCCTCACCAAATGACACCTACAAGAATGACAAATACAGCAAAACAATGCAATCATATGACTCCTACATTTGTTTCCTAGAATGCCCATAAACAAATCTGCACTTGAAATACGTCAAAGACAGTGATTTTCTTGCACTTCTAAGAAAGTGGTGTTTCAGACTATGAATTTCAAGCAATCATAAGTAGACCAAAACATAACGTATTAAATAAAGTAGAGACATGTAGAATATACAGGTTTCTGACAATAAGATAAAAATTTATTCCAGTTACAAGAAATGCCGAAATCCGGGAAGTAATGAAATCTTCAGCCGTAATTTCTGCAGTAGTTTAGTTTTGCGGATTCTCTCATCCACCAGTTGTTAAGATGCTTTCAAAAAGTAAGATTTATTTCCGCAAAATTCGAAAACTACGGTGGATGAGATAAAGTTCCGTTGCTTAAATCATTTAACCCTTGCAGTGCTAGTTAGGAAACATGTGGTCGAGTGTTATTGTTCGACGGGACTGGATCTTCTTCGTTCGCATTGTATAGATATATATATATGTTGCAGTTTTTGTAACACTTCACCGATTTCACGTAAGTTCATGTCTGTTCTGATCACCCCAGTAGAAATGAAGACTTTGTACTACACGATCCTCTTTGCAGAAAATGAAAACATCGCAACTATCACTTAATGTAAATTAGACTTCGCTTAAGGCAAAAGCGGAATAGCTTCATCTCGATATAATCCAAAAGTTAGTACCGTATAAGATCCGCCTTTTATCGCATCTCACAAATACTTTATAATCGTGACCTCGCCGCTCTCTCTAGATTTATGATGCACGCCTTTACCATGCTTTTTCTCCTTCCGAATGTGAATTATATTAAAGAGCAATTACTGAAGGGCGAATATCGTGCTCCAAGTCAACCCCTCAAATAGCTTTCGGTGGGGCAGTATGGATTAACGGCTTCACATGGTCGTGAAGAGATGATAGATGTGCACAACGTTCACTGCGAAAGAGATGTACACCTACGCTACGAAGCCTAAACACCTTCAGTGCATCATAAGTTCGGAAGAGCATTGCTGGCTTACGCTTTGACGACATTTTCGGTTACCTCCGTTACTTTACGTTACAATGGGAACTCATAAAGCAAAACTATGCGGTTTTCATGCCTTGACAGCATCATTTTAATTGGCCTAGAATCACTGTAAGTATACTTTCGGCTAAGTATTATATGGTAAATTATTCATCAAGAAAAAAGTTGTATAACCCAGCAACAATACAAGGAGTAATTACTATCAGATGTATCTCTAAATTTCATTGTGGCGAAATCCGACATTACTTACGAATCAAATAATACTGAAAGAAAGCGATCCTAAGTTGAACCAGATAAGATTTGATTTCTCAACCAGATTAAACTAAGCTTATTTATCTAAAATAACACCTCGTCTTTGCTGAACATAAGTAGAAAGAATTATTTATCTGAACTTATTTCAACTTGCTTTATTACTTTTATTCTACTTTATATGACCAGTCTTTCACATCTATTGTGAGGGTGCCACCCTTTCTTGCATTTGATTCCTCTCCTCGCATCAATCGCCCATGAAGTTCTTTTAGCTTTCATCATGTGGATTGGAGATTGCTGCCTGAGGACGTTTTCATCTTCGTCACCAATACCGTTGAATCCTGATCGAGTCGATTCTAACCTAGAGTCCTGAGATACCTAGGGCATAGCATTCACGCTTGGACTTCAAGTAGTGCACTGTTCCAGATGTCCACTATGAATTTCCCCCAAAAAGGTGGGAGACTTGGCGGGCCAATGGTGGGGTCGAACCAGTATCTAGCTCTAGGTGGCAATTGTAATTACCACTGCGCTACCGGCCGTTAGTTATTCTATTAACGAAAAATCAAAATATAAACCTTTACCCACGAATGAATTAATGGCATATGATGCTATATGTTCGAAACCCCACAACCTACAAGAAATCAACACAATGGTGACCAACCATTCGACCCGCGCTATCACGGCCTGCCGCTCCATAGTTTGTGCGCTCCGAAAAGCTTCTGTTGCGCTTCATCTCGTCTATCTGATGCCGTTCCAGCTCCAACTATAGGAAAGAAATACGATAGAATACAAGAGAAACGACAAGTACTTGAAACCCACCTGGTGAGCTTTGTTAATCATCCGCTGGCGCTCTTCGATTGGATCGAAAAACTTGATCAAACCATCACTATCTTGGCATTCTTGGACACTTTTCCAGGGATGTAAAGGCGTTCTAGCGACTGCAGTAGGACCGTCACGCCGGTTAGTTGACGAAGATAGAGTATTTGACACTTCTACCTTGAAAGACACTAAATTTGGGTCAGCAGAATTCACCGGATTCACTTGATCACGAGTCAGATTATCTTATACAGCTGTGTAAAAACTGGAAATGTGCATTCTTTAGCATATTCCACCTTTACACATACCAAAGCCACCATTGACGCGTCCATAAAATTATGTTCAGGTGATGCAGCAGCAATACTGATGGTGCCATTTGACCCGGAGTGGCTCATCAATGCCCTTGAAAAACAAAAATGTAAGAAACTACTAAAATTCGTCCTACAAGTACGAAAGTTTTAAAACTGAAAATTAACAAAAGATATCTCACATTCCACTTATATTTGCTGCATCAATATTGGTAATTGAATTAATACTTTCACTGCTTTTGCTCTTCTGCAGCGGCGGAGGATTGACATTAGGATGGGAACTAGCGACAGGGTCTTTCAGTGGCGCGGAAACCGGACAGGACCGTGTTGGATATGAAGAGACGGCCTAAATAATCAGTTATTCACTCTTATTCTGTGGTTTTTCACCTAAGTCGAGTAGTGTGTACGGCAAACTCCAAGGTTTGAAGATATCAAGTTTGACGCAATTCGCTAACGAACATCAAAAAATGTTACAAAGAAGCAGTACAAAGCAAAACAGCCTGTTACTCACAATGTCGTCATCGAATGCACGATCACGATACACCTCAATCCATTCGCGAAGTGTGCTCATTTCAGTGTCAAAATTGATTCTTCCAACGATTGTTTTGTCATATAGTGAGCTTACTACACGTTCATTATCTTTCCCAAGAAATCTCCAAATCGATATCGGCTCTTGGTTCATTTGTTCCTTTACCATTTCCGACTCTCGACGTGAATTGAACAGGAATGTGCCGAATAATCCAGAATAGGCATGTTGCGCTAGTTTGATCTGCGAAAAAAAAATACTTGAACTCGAAGAATACCTAATTTCCCGTTTACTCCCCCAGACCTATACATATACATACGTATACGTATATACATATATATACATACACATGTATGCATACATATATATATATATGTAATACATGTACATCCATATATATGTACATACAAATGCATATACATATACGCATACGTACATACGTACGTATACATATATACATACATACATCACGTATGTACGTACATATATACGTGTATATTCATATATATATGTGTATATACATGTACATATAAATGTATACATATGTATATATGCGTATACGTACATATATATATATATATAAATGTACATATCTATACTAGGATACATTCATTTTGGATATAAACTATCGTGCTCCGCAGATATTATTACATATTTTAGGGAAGCAATTTAGAAACAAACAAAACGATGCTGAGATATGGCCAAAACTCGGAATCCTTGGTGCGATTCGAACCCGTGATTACCCTTTCCGTGATGGCTCGCTCACGTTTTACACTGCACCACTGAGGCCCTTGCTTTGGTCCGAAGAGCAAAAACCGGTAATGGACCCAGTAAAGTTGAAGCTGCAGTCAAAATCACAACGCTTAATTTTTGTTCACTATCTTTTTTTAAAGGCAGTTTCAAGTTCGATTCACATTTCTATACGCAAGTCGTCAGAAATTCAACTTATTGAGAACAAATTTTAAAGTTCCTTGATTTTTCAGTCATGAAAATAACTCACATCTCAAGACTTTAAACTCTATTTTTGAACTGCAAAAAAGGCATGCGTGACACACGCAAAATTTACCGAAATATTTTAAAAGAACGATATTGTAAAAATAGCTCGATGTCAAATTAAAATTTAAATCCGGCTTCCTAATATTACCATTCCCTACTACACTGTTACCTTAGAAGAAAAGATCTTCATAGAATTTTCTAACCGCCCTAACAAAACAGAAGGAACCAAAGCCTATCGTAACACATAAAAACAAAGCAACGTACAAGGTACTGCCTGTTGAATTCAAAAGCGGTTGGAAGCTGATGCTGCATTTGGTGCACTGCATCAAGAAATTGTAGGAAAATTGGAGATTGTTCATTGTTGTTTGTTCCAGCGATACCGTTTCTGTCGGCAAACTTATGACCGAATGCAACCCATTCCAGACGAATTAGTTCCTCAAATCCCTGCAAAAAACAGTATCAAAGATAATACACTCATAATTTGTCAACCTGTAAACAGATATCGAATTTCTTACAGATTTATGGTACGTATCATTTTCTACATGGTGAAAACCATAGAGAACGTGGCTCGCGAATGATATCCACTTTTTCTTTCAACGATTTTTCGAAAGACTTATTTAGATATAAGAAACACCGAAATAAAGTCGAGGCACTATCAAGAATAACGCCCATGTACGTGGCCATTAAGCCAACTCTTACTAAATGTTACAGAAAAATAAAGGCTGAAAGCCGCACCAATCCTAACACTACGCTGGCATCAAATACCGATTGGAGAAAAGCTTTTTGCTTTACCAAAAGATGAGGAACGACAAAGTCTTGCATACTTGAATTGTCCTGTAGTATTCGTCGCCCATTAACTTCGCCAAAGATACAATTTGCGTTGTCCTGTCCCAACCATCAGAACAATGTACTAACACTGACTGTCCTGAAAAACAGAAAATCTTATCTTTAGAATAAGTGGTTAAAAAAGGATAGATGGAGCTAAGATTACCATCAAAAAGCGTGTCCACGCATTTTCGAGCAGCATTCATGAGATCTTTGATATAGTTCAGCCAACCAGTGCTCTCTAATGCCTGGAACTAGCAGTCATATTGAAATCTTAATGCATTTATTTAGTATTAAAACTCCAGATATTACGAACTTCATTTAATGCCATATTAGCATCCTCACCGATAGGTACGATTCTCCCGTTCTATTCTGATTAGAGCAGAGTAAAGCTCTAAGTTGGTGGAAGGAATAGCGGACATTATGGATGTTCGGTAAAGCCAGCCAATCAACACGCGTACGTTGGTAGTACTCTTAAAAACAAGAACACATAACTTTCCCATTATAACGCGACAACGCTTTGCAAAACAAGAAACAGAGATTTTTTAAAAACAGCAACGAAAAGGAAACGAATCACAAAATGAAAAAAAAGAAAACTGGAAAAGATACAGCTACTCTATTTACTCACCGGGATGCTCAAATCCTCCACCTTTCGCACGATTTGCCCAAGCTGCAGCATAAGATCGTGCATCCATTATCAGCATGTCTTTACCTAACACAAGAATTTCGTTCGAAGTTAGGCAGAGAGATAAAGAAGGCACAAACCAGGCGAATACGAGTCGAGGTAGTTGTGTACCAATTCAAAAAATTTCTCATCAGCATTGTTTCTCCACCCGAAAATGCTCAGTCTCGGTTGACTACTACGTAGAAGTACTGCTCTCTAGAAATTGAAATCGTTCATTGAATTATCGTTCACGAATAGCATTTTGAAACGAATAATAGCAAAAATCGAGCAAAAGAGATGTGGAATTAGAAATACATTCCGGATAATCTGGAACGAATACCTAACACAACTGCTAAGACATACCGTTTCCCTACATTTCCAAACTACAGCAGGCCATCGTTGCAAAAAGCGAAAATCTTTTCCGTCTACAAGGTCCTTCTGAGTTATCTGTTTTGGAATCACCATATATTCAGGGTAAGTGGGTGACAAGCTAGAATTTGACGGTTTAAAAAAATGGGAGAATATTTGTCCTTCAAATGAAAACAATTACGATTAACTCACGTAAATCCTTTATTGTCATCCGAAATTCTAAAATGGTCCCTGTCATAGTCGAGACGATCGAACTCCTTGCATACAAGAATCTTGTCATCTACAGGTTCTGCGTTGGACAACCACTGGCATTCCTCTTTCCTTACCTTAAGATGGAAATACATTTATTCTGAATAAAAACACTGTTACACAATTACAACGATAAAGAATATTGAAATCGAACCTGATTAGCAAAATTCCATGCAAAGAGTTCCTGATAAGTTAATCGATTCGAAGCTTTATAGAGCATTTTATGCCAGGCGATTGCAGACTCTGTTGATTTGGCGCGCAAACTGCATGGAATTAAACGTTAGTGAAATCAACCGACACCATAGAAAGTTACACTTCCATATCTTCCCTAATATTTTTGTGTATCAATGTCCCAAATTTAAATTCCACAATTCTTACTGATGAGTGTTACACTGACCATTGAAGAAACTCAATGAAGATGGAAACTGACCAAGCCACTCGTCCTTCTTTGCAACTGATGATAATCTGCACTGGATCACGAAAGTCAATCGTTTCTATAGCGACAAGAAGTATGACACGCAGAGCACGATTATTGGGGGCAAGAATGCAGATCTATACAAAAAGGTTAAACACCTCGATTTTTTTAAAACCAAGCATCATTGTAGAAACGAACCCTATAGTCAGTAAGAATCACTCTCAACGCTCCCTCGAACTCCTCGTCTGCTTTCACTGTTTCAGCTGGTAGCAGTTCGATAGGATGTGGTTGTGATACTGGCATATGCTTAGCTACTGATGAGCGTTCAACAGAATTTTCGCTAGCTCCAGATGGTAAATCTTCATCTCCCACTTCAAGCTCGTGTGGGGCCTAGAAGTGCATTTATTAAATAAATCTGCTACATAAACCTTCATTACTTATTCTGTGAATTCCACATAATCATTGAACACTTGTTTTCCAGTTACAATGGTATGTGAACAACCCAATATTTCTTACAACGTTCAATACACAGAGATAGAACGAAACACACAAATCTTTCTATCACTAATGTTTCATGTCGACTGATGTAGTACCACGCGAAGAAATGCTGTACTTTGCTATATAATTCAGTGATAACGCCGAGCACCTAACTGCAATTTTGTACTTAAATTATACATATATACACATACACATGTAGTTGTACATATGTATAACTTCTGTCTACATTACCTAACAAGATAAAGCTCACTTCCGTAGCACAGGAATTCAACCAACTGAGTTAAATTTAAAATGGCGTTTTCAACGTCTGAACACCAGAGCAATTCAACTAGCTCGTTATTCAGACATGACGTTGAAGAAATTCAAAGCATTGCAATAATTAATATTTTTCAGTTACTTATGTGGTTTCCGACTTATGGTAAATTCAAAATCCTAAAGAACCTCTAAACAGTAGAATTCTCTGGATTTATCAAAATTCATATACTAATGCTATACATGTATGTCACATATATGCATATATGATATAGACGCGTACGTACATACTTGTATATATACGTATATAGGTGTATATATGCATATATATATGTGTATGTCGCATATGTGTACATAAAGATCACTATGACAAAGAACAAGGTCCTCAAATAAGTAAAACGATCCTCAAAGAAAAAAAGCAGGACATATGACTCGTCATTATTAGAGCTGAAAAGACAGATTTGGTGCCGGTATCACAATTTGTTAGTGTCAACTGGTAAGTTAACCTTGTTATTCGAAGGGTCATGAACTCAATTTCCTTTGCAATTAAACAGCAAAAAATTTGATGACTAATAGTGCCCGGAATAGATACATACTAACGTACAAAATCCGAAATATTCGAGATGTTCCCACGCATATAAACATCGCTGAACAAGCAGCAGCGGTGTTTTACGGAAATGCGATCGCGATCAGCTGCTTCGTGGCGATCGATTCCGTAGTGGTTCTAACAAACGCGTGACCGTGATAAACAAGACTACAGCTCATTGCATTGGCGCCAAACATCTATCTAGAGAAACAATAAAGAAAAACTATTTTCATAAAGTTATGTTCCTACGTATAAGTTTGCAGCAAAATTACGGTCGCCTATAAATTAACACTTCCTGATGAATCACTGCTTTCCGAGCGTTCGATTCTCCTCAGTGTTTGGAACACTGGACTTTCACAAAATCGTGCTCATCTGGCGTTCATTAGACTAAAAGGAGTTAATGCTAAGAAAAAACTGACAACTACACAGAATGCAATGTTCTTCCAAACGTTTCATCCAAAGGCTACAATTCGACGAATACTATTCTTCCGTGCTTAACTCATCACTACCACGCCTGCAGATGAACTTCGAACAACCGGTACAGTGATACCTGCTAGATCAACAACTCGGAGCAAGATAACTTTAAAGTTTTGTGCCGTTTAAATGATAACATTAGCCACGACTGTTATGTACTTAAGAATTACCAACATGCATAATAAATACATGTGCTGTACAGCATTTTGACGGGCTCGGTACAAATACATCTCCTGTTGATAGACCCACAAACACAGTTAATCGGGACCTCGAAACAGGGTCCAGAAGATATGTCTCGCTCATTCCAAATTAGCATTGATAATCTTTGCTTAGATCGCCTTTTAGAACATTTTCTAAACAGGTCAGCAAAGAACAGTGAAGACGGTCCACCATTTCCCATAGTGTATTTGGTGTGCCCGAATATATGGTGGTCATAACAAGGGTGACAAGGCAAATGTAGTTATTTAAAGCCTGGAGATTTACATTCAAACGGGAACTAGAAAAAAAACCAGATTAACAACAACAGGTTATAATCCTTCGAAATAACATAAACACTTAAATTTAAAAAAGATATTAGTAAAAAATGAGCAAATATAGCGCGTGTGTGTAAATGAAGTTGACTACGACCGAAAACCACTACGATGACAAAACGTGCTACCCAGGGTCAAAGAACATGACGACGGAAACAAAATCAAATGGAAAAGTAGACTGCATAAGAAAACAAACTTCTGAAACTGAGCAAATTTGTTTGGTGTGATTTAAAACTCCTCAAATCTCCGAAATTTGGTCATGACTTTTGGAGTTGTGCAATCATTGAATCAATTATTTGCGAACCACCTGAGCTACTTGTCACCTGTAAAGTTACCCGTTCCCACCCGAGTTATTTGTTCCGTTTTCTCCTCGAGATCTGACTCTCCAGAAATCTAACAAGTAGACTTCACTACGTGTACATACCCTTCCCCACATCACTTTCAGTACAATTTGCAAGTTCTAGAAAATATGTCCGAAGACGGCTCAGGTGATCCAACAACTTTTAAATGTAACCATAAAGTTCGAATGCCAACATACAGTCTATGATGGCTACAAAACAAAATCCTACCTCACAATCTCTACGCATGATAAAGCGTAAATCCTCGGTTTGTGGAACATGTGGCACATTCACATAAGATGTTGGTGATCCAATGAATGAACCATCGAGATCCTTAGTGTCCTGACATGGAATGTCTATCGCATTTGTTCCCCCACGTACCATTCTAAGAACTGGAAAATACCAAAAAGTAGACGTAATACCAACTTTGCTACCTGATTTGCAATCTCAATAGTTAAGAGAGACTTGGACACTTGACCTTAATATAACAGTGACTAAGAATATTCTGAGGCAAGGTATGACGAAAAAGAAAACCAACCAACAAGAAACGCGGATATAACAAATATGAAGGCTATACAAATAAATACCCCTAGCCTAAACAGAACAAAGCAGACCTGAATTACCTTTCGAGTTTCTGTCGATAGCAAGTTATTTTTGATAGCACTGAGCTTAATATGATTGGTTTCTGCCTGTTTCCTCCGCTCAGGTTAGTGTTTCGACACATACAACACTTCAAGCCGCTTCAGTTAGATCGGTGAAAAGCGGCAAAATACCGCAGATCGCAAGCACTCTTCCACTTATTCTATGCAGTTAGCTTAAATATATTTACATTATATACGCCAACTGAAGTGGCCACCAAGGGATCATTAAAAGACACGAAAACGATCAATATTGCAACGACAGTGCAAAGAGCGCACAGACTGAGACATAAGTAGCACCAGAATCAGCAGCACAACGAAAGCCTGGCAGATTGTCAAAAAGAAAGAAGACAAGTGCTACTGGGTCAAACCAAATATGGGAAAGTACTACGTTTGTTTACTGACATAAACGAGAACAACACCGAATGAAACCTCCATCTGACCGCCCCGCAGAATGTTCTGGCCACAAAACGACGGAGAAAGAAGGAATCCAGAGTGGAACATCCGGTGAAGTTGTGGATACCAGCCTGTTGGCGACTGACAAACCACTCGACATCGTGTGTGGGCGTAGAACCCGAGCAAGTCAACAAAAATACGCGAGCCCTCGCCGCCGACGAATCAGCGGCCGCGGCGAGCGGTCGCGCCGCGTCGGCCCGCCCCCGCCGATCGATAGCGTCGCCGGCGACGCCCGTCTGTGCCCCGCGTCAGTCGTGCTGCCTCGCCGGCTCCTCCGCCCTGCGCCCTGGCCCGGTGCCGCATCGGCATGGGGTGGCGGCCGTCTGCGCGGAGGCTCAGCCGGTATGCGGCGCTGCGCGGTGCAGACAATCTGCCGGTTGCTGGAAAGCGTTAGTCATCGCCGTACCGATTACTGACATCAGCACAGAGCGTACGACTCACTGATCCTTCCAAGAACTGCTTGGCCACCAATCTCGAGACGAGAAATCGTTTGGGTAGGGTTAAATGACCTCTTTTTGATGTCACAGTATGGGTTCTTATCACTATATCAACTATCGGCTTAAGACGAGAGGCCTCACTGCGTAATTACGACATCCCTGTTTTTGCACTGTTCCGTAAATCCTGCGATTTTTGTAAGCTGTTTATCCAGTTTCGTCATATGGATACTCATTTCCATCGCGAAACATTTGTGTGCTGTGGTTCAGTCATTCTTATTCGTTTTGTTTTCGTATCAACATGAACTGTAGACGTTCACCATGACCAGTCAGCCACCACTCGATCAGACTCAGGTCGCAGGTGATGTGGCCCATTGTGTTCGCGTATAGCTGTTTTCGGTGGCCAGTATGGTTGTTTACCTCACTTAACGCTCTCGCTCCCTATACCTGTTCCTTACATTGAAAACATGCCAT